ATGGATGGGAAAAAGAGAGAGCGGGCCCTCAGAGAGAGATGCTCCCAAGAGCACGAAGCCTGCCATTTTGCAGATCTTGTGTGGGGTGAGGGTGGGGGATAGCTCTAGGCTATGTTATTTAAATTTTATGGTGACTTGGGCTGACGTCTAGGTTACTCCAGAGTTTTGCTATCTGTGAGAAAAGTTGCATTTGGGTCTATAGATAGGTGTGTGAGTCAGGGGAAACACTGTGTAACAGAAGTGAGAAAAAGGGGAAAGGTAGTTGGAGAGGGGAGAAGAGGGAGGGAGTGTTGTGTGCCTGGGGGGTGGGGAGGCACGAGGGAGAGAAGAAAAAATCATAAAGGCAATAAACTGGATGGGAGAAAGACTATGTTCTTAACCTTCTATGGAGTCACAGACCACCCTGAGAAACTGATGAAAGCTATGGACCTTTCCAGAAAAAAAAATGCACATCTAACATACCAGATATTTTCCCCAAATGGGGCCTCCCCTCCAAAGCCCATCTATGGCCTCTAGATTAAGAGCTCTCGTTGCTCAAGCATGCAGACCCTTGCTGTCCTATGACTGGGAAGCCACTCTTGACCGCTGGTGAAAGTGCATGTCTCCTCGTCAGGCTCGTGGGCCTGTATTGAACAACACTTGAGGGCTATTCCCAGCACATCTTTTTACACGTTGGTGCCTTTTTTTGTGAATTAAGTAAATGTATCACCTCTAAGTTGAAGAACTACAAAAATGTTTCCTGATCTTTGGGATGGGTGAACTAGATAAGGTGCCCCCTTCAAGTGGGTGCCACCTTGCAGGACTGTAACTTGATATTATGGGCTGAATTGTGTCCCCCCATCAGCCCCCCAAAATTCATATGTTGAAGTCCTAACCCCCAGTACCTCAGAATGTGACTGTATTTGGAGGTGGAGGCTAGCTCTAGGCTATTTTATTTAAATTTTATGGGATAGGGTGACTTGACTGACATCTAGATTACTCTAGAGTTTTACTACCTGTGAAAAAAGTTGTATTTGAGTCACAGGTAGGTGTGTGAGGATGTTTAAATAGGTAAAAAAGGTTAAATGAGGTCATTAGGGTGACTGGTGTCCTTACAGGAAGAGCTTAGGACACAGACAGGCACAGAGGGATGGCCATCTGCAAGTCAAGTAGAAACATCTCAGGGGACACTTCGATCTCAAGTTTCTGGCCCCAGAATTGTGAGATAACAAACTTCCATTGTTTCAGCTCCCGTCTGTGGTGCTTCATTACAGCAGCCTTAGCAAACGAATGCACCTGGTGAACAACCTAAGCGTGCTGGCACCTTCTGGGAACTCCTTTTCAGGGTGACTCAAGTTACTCACCCAGATGCCTCCCCAGAAGGGAAAGCCTCCATAGAATGAGATAGGTACATAGTACCCGGAGAGGACTGTCACCAGGATGGAGCCAAGGCCGATGTGTACCAGGCCGATCAGGATCTGGACGACCTGTTGGGGAACCACAAGCTGAGCCTTTGTTTCTGAGGCTAGATCCTGCCTTCCCTTTGAGCCACGTTTTTAATTTTAATAAAACGTTTTGTTTTCCTTGTCTAAAGAGTAATACAAAAAATGTACAAATGCAATAACAACTCCCCATAATTTCCCCCCACCTGGAGAAAACAACCATTTACATTTTGGTGTATAACCTTCCATAATTCTTTTTGTTTGTTTGTTTTTGGAGGCTGGTTGGTATAAGGATCCAACGCTGGACCTTGGTGTTATGGGTACCCTACTCTAACCAACTGAATTAACCGGCAAGCCCTATTCTTTTCGAATATAACCTTGACAATACAAAATGGCTCTGTATTTTATTAACTTAATATTTCATCACGAACATGCCCCCATGGTATTAAATATTCTTCAAGCATATGCTTTTTAAGTCTGCTCAGATTCCATCATAAAGTTCTATGGAGTAGTTGGAACAGAGATATTGGACAGGTAAGATTGTTTCTGTTTTTTTCCTACTATACATAATGTTGCAATGAACAAACTTGTTTGTAAATCTTTGATCTCCTCTCTTATTTCTTTAGGATATTGTTATGGGTTGAATTGTGTCCCCCCAACCCCTCCTGCCCACCAAATTAATTGTTAAAGTCCTAACCCTTAGAATCTCAGAATGTGACCTTATTTGGAAAAAGGATTGTTACAGATGTAATTAGCTAAGATGAGTCACATTGGAGTAGGGTGGACCCCTAATCCAATATGACCAGTGTCCTTATAACAAGAATGTCATGTAAAGATTGAAGTCGTGCTGCCACAAGCCAAGAAGAAAGGCCTGGGCTGATATTTCCCTAATGCCTTCAGAGGGAGTGTGGCCCTGACCACACCTTGATTACCAGCTTCTGGCTTCCAGAAGTGTGAGACAATTCATTTCCATTGTTCTAAGCCATTTAATTTATGGTGGCAGCTTTGTTATGGCAGCCTTAGAAAACCAACACAGATACATTCTTGCACAAATGGTATCTATACATATATACACACACACACACGTATATATACAAACATGTATATATATATGTATGTTTGTATGTATACTACAAACATGGTAGCCCATACAAACATATTATTTCCTTAAATTTACACAAATGGTAGCAAGTTATACACAACGTCTGTCCCTTACTTTCTCCCATTAAAGATACATCTTAGTGTATGCCTATATCATTATGTAACGAGCTTCCTTGTTCTTTTTATAGCTCCACTACATTTCATTCTTTGGATGTGCAATACATTGATTTAACCAGTATTACATCAGTGCATATTTTGGTTGTTTCCCTTCTTTCTTTATCACAAACCATGCTGCAATGAATAAGCTCATATGTACCGCATTTTTTGTGGGTGCGGGTATATCTGGAAGATAAAGTCTCAGGAATGGAATCATTGGGCATATTGTAAATTTGACAGATCCAAATGCCCTGCATACAGGTTGCATCAACTTACACTCCCATGAGCAATATTAGAGGGTGGGGCTAGAGTTGGAGCTTGGGTGGTCTCGGTCAGAATCGTGCTTGTCATGATTTGGCTACACAGTGAAATAAGATTTCTGTAGTCCCACTAAGGACAGCCTTTCAGGGATGGTTGTGGACTCTTATTTTGTTGGTTGTCTAACCTGCTTTTTTTCCCATTGATTCAATCGCACCGGGTTTTGACTCCACCTTGTGGCCTACCTTGGCCTTGTTGGATCCACTTTTCTTTCAGGGGCCACATGGATCAACATGGATGCTGGTGACAGGATCAACATTCAAGTGCACTGCTTTTTTTTTTTTTTAATTGTTGTCGTTGTCACTTTCCCCCCTCTTTCACAAAATGCCTGTATCAGAAAATACAAGGCTCTATACCAAGGCTCCTGGTGATGTTGCACAGCCAAGCTTTCTAATAGACCCGGGTTTGGCAAAGCCCATCAGCTTCAACACCACCTGCTGGATTTGGAGTTTCCATATTTTCCAAACCTTCCCCTCCTCCAGCTCCAGCCATGTGACCCCCGGCCTGCAAAGTGAAATCTCACTTACCCCTAAGGCTTTGCCTTCTTTCAAGGCTTTCTGGGCAGGCTGCTCATTCACATTCAACACCAAACCAGGTGGGTTTCCAGGAATTAGGTGGCCTTGGGGCTGGTTGTTTGGATATAGGGGCACCTGAGACATGACTCCCGGGCTCACAGGATAACCACTGTGGGGTGCCACCACAAACACGGAATTGGCCATGGGGCCTGTCGAACTCATCGAACTCATGCTGCTAAAAAATAAACGTGATAGAGTCGTCCTTCACATATGCACTCGTGTTTACATTTAAAAAGGACTTTTGATTCTGCTAGCTCATTTGAGCATCTCAATCCCTATGAGTTTATTAATCCCATTTTAGAGATCGTATTAGATAGCAGTCACAGGGCACTTAAGAGGTGCCCAGGAGGTCAATGCTTTACAAATTTATGTCCTTGAAACCTCACACTTGCCCAGTTTCACAGGTGAGAAAACTAAGGCCCGAGGAGGTTAAGTGCTATAAGGAGGCAAGCACTGTGTGTTTTCATCTTTGTATCTCTCATGGTATTTAGCCTGGTGCTTTGCATATTTTAGTTTTATCTGATAACAAAATTTCAGAACTAGAAAACCTCTTAGAGAATATTGAGTTCAATTTTCTCATTTTCTGGAAAAGAAAACTGAGGGTGGAAGAATGGACATGAATTCTCCAAGGTCCCCCTCATGTAAATATTAATTGAATGGACATCGTCATCCTCAAGGGAATCTCCACTGGGTTTCTTACACCACTCAATTTTCTACACTATTAATAAATTCTGGAATGGTTTTAAAATTATTTTGTCTTTCTTATTTCCTCCCTCCCTCTCTTCCTACTTCTGTCTCCCCTTTCTTTTCTATCCATCCCATCTCTTTTTTATTTTTTTTGGAGCAGACCCAATAAAGGTAGTACAATGAACCCTGCCATGTCCTCTCTGCTCGCACTCAGATTCACTATAAATCTCATTTATCAGAAATACCTTATCACCATCCCTCAGTTATCCATAGAAACCACTAGATTAAGCATACTCACTTTGCTTTGCCAGCAGCCAAGTCTCCCTTGATCCTGTTCCCAGTTCTTTGCTGTAAGGAACGTGTTTTTCCCAGGTAGAATGAATGCACTGGGTCCAGCTGCTTAATATGTTTAGAAGGATCCAAAGTCCCCTCCACTTTTTTCCTGGGTGCGGGCCAGGTCACCAGCTGCTTAGAGCTCAGCGTCCCCACCCATATTTAGTTCCTGTTTCGGCCAGTGAGCCAATTAAATACAGTTCAATTTGACAACTGTTTAATGGTATCTGTGTGGAGAAGAAAGGGTTGTGCTTGGTGGTCTGGGAGACCCAGAAAGGACCTGGGCACTCAGGATATGTACATCGCTGCAATGAAAGACAGAACAACACGAACACCGCGGTAGAGAGACACCCCTGCCTCCTACATGAGAACAGAGAGGATGTGTTGCATTTGAAAAGATTAGGGAAGACTTCTAGGAAGGTAGCATTTGAGCTCTAAACTGCAATGAGAAAAGGGGTGGAATCACAGCAAGTGAAACAAGACTTGCATCAATTTAGACCTGTTTTTACCTAAGTCAGAGCCTATAGAAAATCAGAAACCACCCATGGGAGGCTATCCAATGTAGCCATGACATACATTATGTGAATTGCACAGGCAGAATGTACAGGAGCTGCTGCTCTACTCTAGGCAATGAGCATCTTTTTTTTTTTTTTTTAAAAATAATTTTACTTATTTACTTATTTTTCAGTATAATTAGTTTGTTCGTTACACAATGAAATCATTTTTTGTGGCCCTTTACTAATTTCTTGCTAACCTCCCCTCCCCTTCCTCCTTTCTCACCTCTAGTAGACTCAGTTCTGTTCTCATTTTTTGTGGCCCTTTACCAATTTCTTGCTAACCTCCCCTCCCCTTCCTCCTTTCTCACCTCTAGTAGACTCAGTTCTGTTCTCTCCTTTTGAAAGTTCAATGAATTATTGTGATTGTGGTATCTTTCTTTCTTTCTTT